ACACTCACACACACACTCTCACACACACACACACACACACACACACACACACACATCCTCACACACGCGCACACACACATCCTCATACACACACACACACACACACACACACTCATCCTCATACACACACATACACACACACACATCCTCATACACACACACACACACGCTGCAGTGGTGGGCCGCAGTGTTGCATGTTTTTGAAATGTGTGATGCATTCAACACACACACACACACACACACATCCTCATACACACACACACACACACACACACATCCTCATACACACACACACACACACACATCCTCATACACACACACACACACGCTGCAGTGGTGGGCCGCAGTGTTGCATGTTTTTGAAATGTGTGATGCATTCAGAAAGGCTTTTTGTTTGGCCGGTAGTGCTCCGACCTTCACATGACACGAAATCTGTTTGAATAAATCTGAGCTCTTAAAGAGACAGATTCTGTGTTCATGATGAAGCACTGAACTGAAGCTCATAAAGAATCCGAGCCACTGCAGACGCTTCCAGACAGACAGATCCTCTTCTTCGAGTCACGCTGTTGCGTGAGATTTCACAGCGCTCACACTCTCTTGTAAATCATAATTGAACAGTAGTAACGCAAAGAATGAGCTCAAACATTCTGTTTTTAATTTCAGCGTCTGCAGCGCCAAGAGAAAAGAGAGTGATTGAGAGCAGCCGTCGCTGGAGTCCAGATCACCTCAAACACACACCGTCTTCAGTCGCTGCATGGACTGTAAATCTGTTTTTGTGTAGGTTGATGTGAAATATGATCAATTCAATTTATATTTATTCACTTCAGCAGATGCTTACAAACTCACAACTTACAAATGAAGAACATCATAAGTAATTTGTGAGGCTGACATGCAGAATAGAAGAGACAAGATTTTTTCAACTTGTACATTTTTTAAATGAAACAATAATACTCCAAATCACTCAATAACTCACTCTTTTCTGAAAATACAATAGAAGAACATACGAGTCAGATGTGGTAATGTGTGCTTAAAGTGTAATAGATTACAGATTACAAGTTACCATATTTAAAATGTAACAAGTAGTGTAACTATTTCCATTACTTTAATGTAACTGATTATTTTTGATTACTTTTCTACATTTCTAACGAATGTTTTCAACTGTTAATCATTTTCAAACAGCCACAGCCAGCACAAAATCAGACTTTAGCACCTCTTCTTACTTTGAGATCAATCTGAGGTTAAATACAGATTTAAAATCATAACAAGAAACCATTTAATAGCTATGATACTGT